CATCTCAGGACAGTCTGGTGTTGTGTTTGCCATGAACTGTGTTGCAACCGAGCGTTGTATGAAACGCGCCCTAATCCATGCCCTGCTTGCACCCCATCTAGTTGAATGCACATTCCTCTTGCTTCCTTCTGGGCCCCAGGAACACACAGCTCTTCTTTCAGTGTGAGTGAGATAGGACAGGTGGGCAGGAGGCAGCACCCTTGGAGAATCACTGACCTGAGAGTAGAAGTGATTTCTGTGGATCTGAGTCCCAGCCAGGATCAGAAAGAGGCACTTGATTTGTCAGACGTCAGTTCAGGCTTCTGAAGAATGTGTGGAGGGATGGACAGGAATGATCTGAAATAAGGAGAGTGCATGTGGATCGTCTGGTTTACTCCACATTCATTTTCCTCGTTTCCAGCCAAGAGCTCACGAACCTGCAATAACTGAGGAGAAAGGGCCTGGGTTTTCTGATCAGTGAGGTTCGGCATCAGGAACTGACAGCAGCAAACAGAGATATTCCATATTGTTCACTCCCGTCCATCCTGTAGTTTTCTGTAGCCACATGTTCTCTGCAAGTTTCCTGGTGTTTCTCCCCCTTCCTGACACACCCATGTGCCTGGGACTCATTGCAGAGCTTTGTCAGTGAGCTGCAGCCACAGAGCTTTGACATTTCAGACAAAGTCCCTCTGAATGTGCACACCGGGCTGGCACTTGAGCTATCCTCAGGCCTCATGTTCCAGACGGCCCTGAGAACAGCTGTGGAGATTTATGCTGTGTTTTCTTCCTTGTTTCTCTTCCTTTCTGTTGGATTCATCTAAGGTTGCCAACAGGAAATGCCTTTCAGAGACCAACTCTCTGAAGTAGGGTTCCTTTGGGAAGGGCAGGGGCTGTGACCAGGAGCACGCCTGCTGTGGGAGGGCGCTGGTGAGCCCAAGGTGGAAGAAACAAAATGGGAAGCTTCCAGGGAAAATGAGTCCGTGTGAGCCGCTGTGATACCAACTTTGTGGTGACAGCATGCTGTGGCACAAGGGCCACACTCAGGGCCTGGGCCCTGCTAAGAGTAACGGGAAACTTCTTCCCTGGAAGCTTAGTGCTAACCTGACACCAAAATCCTTGACACTGGCCCTGGGTGGACTGAGGAGACTCAGTTTTTGGTCCTTGGCTGTGTGGACAAAGTGCTTCCCTGCCCAAGGGAAGGCTGCTCTGCTGGGGCTGCAGCAACACCACACTGCACACAAACAAAGCAAAACAAAGCAAGGCACAGAGAAGCAAGCTAGGGCAAAGGCACAGTGTTTGATCACCAGTGTCAAGAAACTCTGAGGAAATTAAAACAAAAGTGTACTAGATCTTTTCAGTTTCGTTTACCTCAATTTCTGAATGGCTTTTTACTCAAACTGAACTTTCCCCAGCCTCACCTTATTCTTTCAGACTAGAAGCCCTGGCCACTGCCTGTGGATGCATCTTGCCTGGGTAATGTCCTGTGTGCAAAGAACCCTGACACTAAAGGCAAAGGGCATAGGTCACATCCACTGGGATGACTGGGGCTTGGGGTTGGACCTATGATTCTGAGTTTGAACCTCCTTGGGTCGAGGGACCTGGGCCCCTGTTAAGTGGCGACACAGTGCAAAGAAGACACCAGAGACCAGGCTGATGGTGCAGATCCGGTTTATTATGGAAGTACCAGGCATTTTATTGAGCAGGCTAGAGGCGTGGCAATGGAAGCATGCTAGGGGCGTGGTTTGGCGGCAGTACTTTTGGCCGGGGGCTTTGCGGAAGTGAGAGGTCAGAGCGGGACAGCCTAGGCAGGGCGACTCACTTGGTGTGCAGAGGACATGACGAGTCCGCGTGAGCTCAGACCCGCTCCTCTGCCACGGCCGTCAACCAGACCTCTGGACCCCTTTTTCCCACAGATTCCCCCTCTTTTTTTATTAAAGTCAATTGTATTGAGGCCAGCATAGCCTGTTTAGAGGTTATCATTTGTAACCAAGTACATATCATATGAAGCGCAATTAACGCAAGAAGTCCTAGAAGTCCCAAGAATCCAAGTGTAAGTAAATTAGCTGGTGAGAAAAGGTGCCATAGGTTATGTAGATCGGAGAGGACATTTTCCGTTAGAATAGGAACTTGGATAGAGTCAATAGTTTGTATTTGTTCGGTCAGTTGAAGGGAGAGGTTGAAGGAAGTGCTGCTGTAAGGACCAAGGATCCACTCACGGAGCGAAAGACGAGCAGAAGACAGGTTGGCTGGTTTTGGTGTGACGCAAAGCGGGGTCGATGAGAAGCGTTGATCACAGGCAGTGGTAGCAATGCGCCAGAGGTCTTGAATCTCATTGTCCATGAGGTGAAGTTGTTGTTGAAGATTAAGCAGAGCCATATGGGTATATGCATTAAGCTGTTGTCTCAGCGGCAGCATGGGAAAGTCTCAGCGGCAGCATGGGAAAGGTTGTTAAGTCCTTGAGCCGTCACGGTGGATTGCATGAGCTCAGCGGCTGCTGTGGCTCCTGCTGTTGTGGCTGTAATAAAAGCAATGATAAGGGTGATAATAGCAGAGGCTCCGAAATCTCTCTTGTGTATCTGTAGGGAGGTGGAAGAAAGTCAGATAGAAAATGATAGAGCTACCCAATCAGAGATATTAACTGGCACCCAAAGGACAGAAGGGGTGTGTAGGACGAGCATATATGGAGGGGTTCCATTCCAGCAGTTAGACAGGTAGCAGGTACCTGTCAAAGAGCAGTTAAAAGAGGCACCTGTGGACAAGAGAAGTAAAAACGGGAGGGCAACACAGGCTGTTGAAAAATATGAGTAGTTATTTTTATAAGTGAGGTTAACCAAGGGTGACCAGGAGATATCATTTGGAGGCAAGCTTTGTAAGCAGAGTGAGTCGATTGTTGTTATTTGGGCAAGACCACCAGTGCACAGTTAGGTGATACCACCAGAGCCACTGGTGATGTTAAGGAGGCTAGGGTTGGGAATGGAATAAGTGCCGTTAGTGATAGAGGTATGGCCCATGAGCATCAACGGAAGGTCAAGGCATCTGAAGGTTCCACATAACTGATGGGAGGAGAAGATAGAGTGTCTCCCTGTAAAGGAAACTGGGTTGCGTCCCAAAAAGGGATTCATTGTTCCCAGGGTGAAGAAAAGGAGAGGCCCATAGAGCTGTATAGTTGTCATTTTTGAAAGGTCTAAGTGAAGAAAGGCAGGCATCCCAAGTGATATCTGTAAGTCTCAAGTTAGGATTTAAAGGCATAGGTTTACAAGGGGAGAAGACAGGTTGAGTGATGTTGTAGTCTCCTACATCGTGTCGGTCCATTTCCTGGACGTCTGTTGTTGAGAGCCAGTTGTTGCATCTCTGAGATCGGCAGCTGTGGCTGGTCGGACATCTCGGGCAGGAACCCACACCAGATGGGGTGCTGTCTCTGGAAAGACACAAGTGAAACCTCAGCCTTGGGTTAGGAGTGGGGCTGTGGGTTGCCATGATTGTGTCATGGGATCCTTCCAGCGCACAAGAGGGAGTGGTGTTGGAGGGGCCAGTAATGGGCCCCAATGTTTATGGGCCGGGAAAAGACGTTTTTCATCAAAAATTAAAAGATTTATGGGTATGAGAGCTTTTGTTAGCAGTTCATCTGGTGTGCTCCAGGGGTGTAATTCCCCTCTTTTTTTAATAAAGTTTTGAGTGTTTGGTGAGTTCTTTCTATGATAGCTTGTCCTTGAGGATTGTAGGGAATGTCATGATGTAAGGTTATGTTGTATTTGGCACATGTGTTCTTAAAAGTTTGACTGGTATAACATGGTCCGTTATCTATTTTTAGGTCCCAAGGGACCCGAAGCATGAGAATGGCCTTTTCTAGAGCGCGTGAGGCATGTTGTGCCATTTCTCCCATCATGGCTATAGCCATGGTAGCTCCAGAGAAAGTATTTTTGGTTACATGAATGTATTTTAATTTACCAAATGGGGAAAAATGGGTGACATCAATTTGCCATCTGGCAGAGTCCTAGGGGGTTTACTCCCTGAGGTTGGAGTGGGCCAATTGGGAGAAAGGGGATACATGTGGAGCAACTACGGACCAGATGTTTACCTGTAGCTTTAGGGACCTCTGGGAGAAGTTGATGAATGGCCTTAGCTGATAAGTGAAATCTGGAATGAAGTGTTTTTGTTTGTAAGAGTGGGTCAGACAGGGCTGTTTGTATAGCTTGAATAGAGCCTAGGCTGTCAGCTAGTTGGTTTCCTTTGGCAAGGGGACCAGGAAGTCCCATATGGGATCTGAGTTGTTGTATATACCAGGGTGTTTTCTATGTTGAAGGGTGTTTTGTAAGATTTTTAGGGCTTTATCTAATATAGTATCTTTTTGTTTTAAGGTGGCATGTGGGATGACATGGCATATCTGTACCACATATTGACTATCAGAGAAAATGTTAATAGAGCAGTCTGGGCAGTGTTGTAAAACCTGTAACACTGCAAGAAGTTCTGCCACTTGGACAGAAAAAATTATGTCTAGTAATTTGTATTTTTGGGTAGTTATAGTAGTGAGGATGGTGAATTATAATAGCATATGTTGTTTTAGAAGCATCGGTGAAAGCAGCTCTACTGTGAGGTATAGGGGTCGAGGAAGGAAAATGAGACGGCCTCATGGCCTCATGAGTGGTAACTGATGGCTTCTCTCAAGCGTTTAAGAGTGGAATGTTCATGGAGGATGGAGGATACCATCTTAAGGGGCATGTAGGATTTTGATGTAAATTTGTAGGAAACATATCATTTATTTCAGTTTCCCACTGTTCCCAATTTTTTCCTTGACTGTCTCTGATTTTGCATAATCCTTCGTAATAATCACCCCATTGTTGGGATGGTTGTACTTTAAAATCTCTTTTTGTATGATATCCATCCCATGGATTTTTAGGGTGTGATGTCTGCATAGTGCCAGCAGGTGGCGCTGCAGGATAAGCTGGAGGCTCGTCCCAGTCAAGTTCCGCTTTCATCAAGGGGCGGGGCTTATTGCGTGACAAAGAGGAAGTAGCCCTGGGCGGGGAGTTTTTCTTCGGCGCCATCATGTGTGGAGAAGTTTTACTTGGCGGCATCTTTGGCTCTTGTTTCAAAGAAGCGAGTGAGGGGTATATATTGCGTGGTTTAGGCTGGGGAGTCAAGGGTTTTATATCGTCTGGTCCGGGGGGTTTCTTTGACATCCAGTTCGGACAGGAGGGGCCCCGACAGGGAGAGGTCTTTCTCGAGCTGTTCCATAATGAAGGCTCAGAGTCCGCGGCTGCCCGCAGCACACGCAGCGGAGTCCACCAGGAGAGGGAAGGCTTCTGAATCCTCCCCAGTAATGCGTTCTGAGCCTGTTAAGCAAGCTCTGATAGTCAGTAAAGCAGGCAGGAGCCCTATGGGAAGGATTTTTCCTTCATGTTCTTCGGCCGTTTGGACCCGCCGGATAAGGAGGGACCATGTCTGCGGGTCCCACAGATTAGCAGTTTTGAGCCAAGGATTAGAGGAAAGGAGAATCCCCCAGTACTGGGAGAGGGTCTTATAAGAGACTTTACAATGTCTAGCCTGAAAGAGAGCAGCAAGTGCCCGTGCCTGCGGGGGCTGTTCCTTATGAAGCGCAGGGCCCATGATGTGGGCGGGGGCCTCTTACCGACTCCCGGGGGCGCACAAGGTCCCTGCTCCAGGCGCCACTTGAGGTTGAACCTCCTTGGGTCCAGGGACCTGGGCCCATGCTAAGAGGCGACATGGTGAAAAGAGACACCAGAGACCAGGCTGATGGCGCAGATCCGGTTTATTGCGGAAGTACCAGGCGTTTTATTGAGCAGGCTAGGGGCGTGGCAATGGAGGCGGGGCTAGGGGTGTGGTTTGGAGGCGGTACTTCTGGCCGGGGGCTGTGCGGAAGTGAGAGGTCAGAGCGGGACAGCTAGGCAGGGCGAGTCACTGGGTGTGCCCAGGACATGAGGAGTCCAAGTGTGCTCAGACCCGCTCCTCTGCCATGGCAGTCAACCAGACCTCTGGACCTCTCTTTCCCACGTTTCCACCTCTCCCACCTCCCCAAGGAGACTTGGGTATGTGTGACGGCCTCATCTGCCATTAGGAGCTGCAATGTCAGCTCTGTAGCAGCTCCTGTCTAAGATTTGACTTTCTCAAGCCAGTTCTCTCAGGTGATCTCTTTGGAAATACACCTTTTATGACTTGTGGCACGGCAGACTAGCTGTCCCTCGTGCTCTCAGTGCTAGTGTTGGATCTTCTTTATTTATTTATTTATTTATTTAGTCTTTTTCTGACAGGGTCTCACTGTGCAGATCAGGCTGACCTTCAGCTCCCTTTGTAGCCCAGGCTGGTCTCAAACTTGCAAGGATCCTTCTTGCTCAGCCTCCTGAGTGCTGGGATTGTAGGCATGTGCCTCCATGTGCAAGTATTAGATCTTAAGTGTCACAACTGAATTAAATGCCATAATATCAGCACATTTTGAAGCTGAAACAGGATGATCCTAATGTGTGGTTTGTTTTTTGTTGGTTGGTTCTGAGAAAGGGCCTGCCTACCCATATCAGGCTGGTCTGAAACTCACTGTGTAGCCCAAGCTGTTCTTAAAATCACAGTGATATGCCTACTGTTACGCTTCCGGCATAACAGTCCTGCATCACCACGCCCTGCCTTGGATCAGGAGCATGAGGCAAGACCGGGCAACATCTTAAGATTCTGTCTCTAAAGCTTAAATATGCTGTGATGCAGCTCAGCGCCTCCTGATATCAGTGAATACTGCTGTGGGTAGAAAGAGTCACACCTCTCTCTTTGTAGCAACGTGCATAACTTCTTAGCCTCATGCAGAGGAAAGTCTCCCAGTCCTTAGACCTGATCCTGCAATTACAGGGATCAGTTATGTGTGGTTCACAGAGTTTAAGTACAGCCTCCATAGTCACCTGTACAGTCCCTGCTCACCTCCCCCATCACAGAGGCCCGATTCCAATGACCTCAGTTGTGAGCACTTCTCACACCTTCAGTACCTCCTCTCTGCCACCCTGACTGGGCCCAGGACCTGCTGTGATAGGAGACACAGTCCCAGCTCACAGTACCAGACAGTTTTCTGATGTGTTCTCTGTGGGGATGACATCACTGTCTTATACAGCTGCCATAACCTTGATTTTTATTTCCTGGTTGAGGACTTCGAACTGAATTAAGAGTCTCTGCATTGATCGACATTCTCAGCACAGTTTCATTTTATTTTTCAGTTTCAATTTTCATGGATGGTGGTTCTGATTCATGAACTCAGAGTCTTTGCTCTTAACTGCTTGCCCAGTTTTATGTATTTTTTATTTTGAGACTAGAGTCACCAGGGCTGGTGATATTTGCTTACACTCCAGCCACTCCGGTGGCTGAGACAGAAAGATCACAGCAGGTTGAAAACCACCATGGGCTAAACAGTGATTTCAAAGCAAAACCAACCTGAACTGTACACTGAGACTCTGTCTCAAAAAGGATAAAAGAAAAATGTGGACTCTGGCTAAGTGGCTGTGTTTCCCAGGTTGGACTGGAGATTTTGGTTCCCTTCCCTCAGCCTTCCAGAGAGCTGTGAGTGTGCCCACCTGCCACCATGAACGGCTGTTGTTTGTCCTCAACTGTAGTGCTGGGGACTAAGCCCAGTGTAGTATGCAGAGTTTGCCAGGGAAACAATTTCATACAGGATGCATAATTTATATCATTTTTTATATTAGTCACCCAAAGATTCAAGTACAAAAGCATGGGGGATATCTGTCCGAACTCTAAAAACTGAAAGATTCCAGCTGAGGGCCAGAATCCTACAGTAATGTCCTGTATGAGCCGACCTAAAGCCCTAGGCTGTGCCCCTCAGGGATCCAGCTGGAGGCCTAGAGCCCACGACAATGTTTCATGCAAGTCTGTTTCATGGCTCTTGCAGGGAAGGCCCACAGGTCAGTGGTGGAAGCTAGAAAGTCCGTGTCAGCGGGATGATGTGTGTCTGCAGGCTGAGGCATCTGCACTGGAGCCAGAAGCGAGGCTCACAGCAAGGACCAGAGCCCCCTAAGGAGAACCACAGCCATTTTCAGTGATAACAAGGTCCTGAGCTCCTTGGATGATGAGAGCAGCACAGTTCCCATCAGGACAACCGGCATGACCAGGTCTGTGTGGGGAACCAAGAGCCCCTCTTCTTCCTCTCTGGTTCTCCTTTGTATGTTGTTGGCAACAATCCTCAGGGGAGCCCTCCAGCCCAGCACCACACTGATTCAGTCCCCTGGGTGTTTCAAGTTGACCACCGGTTGTGAATCCACCACACCCAGGAGCTTGCACGTGCCAGGCAAGCAGGCTATCATGGAGCTGCACACCAGCACCAGTTCTCTGCTGTGACAAAGTTTGCACAATTTGAAACAATTTTAAGAATCAATTATTTCCAAAATGACCAAACATTCCCAGTATTCACACAGTGCTTCTGAGGAAACCACACACACACAGTAAAGGCTACAGTTTGAAGTGGACAAGTATGTACAACTGTACTGGTGTACAGGGGTTTCACTGATCTGCTCTCCTAAGTGATTTTAAGAATACAGTGATTCTCACCTGCCATGGGAGTTACATTTCAGATATTCCGGTGATGGGTGAAAATCTGTAAAGTAGTGGTGTCACATTTATGTAATGTTTACGGCTTTATAAACCCTCCCCACTCTCCTGTAAACCTTCCTCACTCTATTATTAACCCTTCCCACACTCTTGTAAACATTCATCTACTCTTAAACACAAGGAGAAATGCTGAACATATGGGCACAGTGTGGGAGAGCAAGCAGATGCTACAGTCACTAAGCTAGTCAGCGCTTAGGATGCAGAGTACAGTGCTGTACTTGGTTGCCTTCCATTCCATCAGCCAGTGGTGCGCCGTATGCAGTCTCATGCTGACAAACGTGCTCCAGCTGGTAATGGCATACTGCCTTCACATTGTGTGCAGTAGGGTATGCATCAGCTGATGAAATACATACTATAGTTTATTTCAATTTAATATTCATTTAATATGTTTAAATTATCATTTCTATATTTATATTGTTTTAAATTGTTTAGGTTAAAATAATTAAAAGCACAAATATTATATAATTAACTCTATGCCACAAAATCCCACAATATAATGAAAACTCTGTGATACAGAATTAGATATATTTATTTTAAAACCTGAGGTAGAGTGAAGCTGCAGTAAGTGAACTACAATATACCGAGGGATGACTGTGGTCTTCCCTGGTCAGTCCTTTGAACTTGCACAGAGGCCCGTCCTCATCCTGTACGGTGTACTTCTTTTCCTACTTTTACTTGGCCCACACTCATTCTCCAGAACTTGTTGGTTTTCTATATTTAATAAAACCTTACATACATTTTTAAAAAGGGTAGATTTTTTTAAAGCTGAGTGTGATGGTTCATGCCTACATTTGCAAGACTTGGGAGGCTGAGGCAGGATGATCTCCATGAGTTATGGCAAGCCAGAAATATATACCAAGACCTTCTGTCAAAACAAACAAGCAAACAAAATGCATCGTCTTCCATAGCCAGACTTGGTGCGGCATTTCTCTAATCTCAGAGAATTGGGAACTTGAGGCACAAGTGCTGTAAGTTCGAGACTAGCCTGGCCAATGGAGTAAGATTATCTGAAAACAGAAAGACAAATAAACCTGAAGATGTGGACCAGTGGGTGTGTGTCTTCCATTTGATCTGCACTACTGTGCATGCAAACAAACAAACAAACACAATGTCTTTCCTGCAAGTTATTTACTTTTTGAGACAAGGTCTTGCTGGATAATTTAGGCTGATCATAAATTCACTGTATAGCCTGGCCTTAAACTCATGACACTCCACCTCCTTCACTCTCCCAAGTACTGGGATTATAGGGATGTGCTACCACCTCCTGGTGTTCTGCAAGAAATTTTAATGCAAGTTGCGTTAAAATATCAGTTTACTAGGTCTGCTTTGGCCATACACTGGCAACTTCTGTAACAGCTTGGTAGACTAGACGTTCTCAATTAGCACGCATCCTGATTCATGCTAAGTATGTACACAGCACAAATAAAGAACCATGGAGACTTAGGGCCCGTGGTCCACCTCCCTCATCACCAACATACTTCCTCTGCTTCTGACAACAGGGAGGCCAGGGACACAGTGCACAAAGGCGACACAGTTTTCCACGGGGCCACCTCCTGATCAGGATTCTGCAGAAGGCCAGAATTTCTCCTGGCAGTCAGTGGGAGCACAGGCAGGCACCATCTCTAGTGCAGGGGATTCCAAGCTTTGGGACAAGCCTGACCCCTGCTGGTGAGTCAGGCCGGGTGCAAGCAGTTCTTGCGAGCAGGACTGTGTTTTTTCTGGTAGTTTTCAAAGTTACTAATATGAAATGATGTTTTGATAAGAGTATCTGTGTTATTTACGTAAGTACCAAAGACATAAACTCATTTTTAAACTATGGAGGAATGTGGGCATAGTGGCGCTCCCCTGCAATCCCAGCACTCGGGCCGGCTAAGGAAACAGGATGGCAATTTCCCACCCCACATGAACACTTCATGGGATCCGGCCTCTAAATAAAGATTTAGCGGGGTGTGGTGGCCCTCTCCTGTAATCCCAGCACTCTGGACGTTGGGGCAGGAGCCCCACTGTAAAGTCAAGTGCAGCCTGAACACTAGCATATAAGTGAAGACCCTGTCCCAAATAAGTAAAGAAATAATTGTTTTTTTAAAATCCTAGGCTGCAGCTCAGTCAGTGCATATGTATTGCATTCAATCCCCTGTACTGAAAATAAATGATTATGTGGAAGTATGTCCCACAATCAACTCAAATTTTCTACCCTCCGTCCTCAGCCTACCACCTCTGTGGGTCTAAAGTTCATACCATGCCCAGCTGAAACTGCTTATGTATTAAAAAAAGAAATGAATTATTTTCATGAATAGGATAAAAATACCATGAATGAATATCTGGAGTTTCTGAAATATTTAATCAATTGAAAGGAAAAAGATTTGTTTATTTCTTTCAGTTATTTGTTTCTTTTTGTCTTGTAGTCCATTGCATACAAAGTCAATTCATCTGTTTTTCAAATATTAAAACACATTTTCATTCCAGCTTAATTTTCAGCTGTTAAACTATTCTTGATGGATTTGTTTTGAGGTAGTTTCTTTATTGTAGTGCAAGCTGGTTTTGTTCTTATTTTGTAGCCTGCTCTCTTAGCAATCCTCCTGCCCCAACCTCCTGTGCCCTAGGCTCACAGGCGTGTGCCACCACACCCTGCTTTGGAGTGACTTTGAACCCTCAAGCCATGCTTGCATTTCTCACAGACATTTATCCTCTAATCCAGTCTTCCCTGCCTGTTGGTCACAGTGCCGGAGCAGGCAATTTCCTGGGAACCAAAAGCCTGGAAAGAACTGAAGCGGTTCTGCCATCATCAGAACCTGCACTACTGTCCTCAACCCTGTCTTTGAGGAGGCTCCTAACCAGACGCGCAGGCCTGAGCCAGGAGATGTGCCTGGGTGTTTAAAGCCCCTCACTCACCACCTCCCAAAGCCTGAACACAAGTACAAGGATTAAGACTCCCATTTTGGGTTTCTTTTCAGTGATAAATAAATCTGATGACCACAGCCAGGCAAGGTGCACCAGGCCTTTCACCATTCAGGAGGCAGAGGGAGGAGGATGGAACACTGGGGACCACCTGGACTAGAGCACGAGCACAACTTTCCCAAAATAAGCACACACACACTCACACATGCACACACACACACACACAGAGCACAGGCATTTTGAAAAGTAGATCGTAAAAACACATTAAAATCAATTTGTGCATATATTGTACTTTTATGAATTGTTTGAGAGTTGTCATTTACTGTTGTTTTCTTTTCTTGTCACTTTTTATTGCAATCTCTAACTTTTGTATTAAAAATTTTTAAGCCAGGCATGGTGACACATGCTGGGATTCCAGCACTCAGGATGCTGAGGCAGGAGGATCATGGTGAGTTTGAGGCCAGCCTGGGCAACAAATTGACTTTAAGGCCACCCTGAAATGCATAGTGGGACCCTGTCTCAAAAAAAGAAAAAGAAAAGAAATGTTTTAGACCAGAGATACAGAAAACATCAGTGGTTGGTGGGGCCACAGAAGGGGATTAAGGAGAGTTAGTTCTACGAGTATTCCGTGTTTGTAGTGTACTAACCGGTGCATTTTATGTGGACAGGATGGCAGCCGCTCACCCACTAGG